GCAAATGCGCCGCAACGCTCACATGTTTCCCAACAACTTGCTTTTTCATATAAAAGGTATGGAATAATTATGCATCCCAATAGGAATTTTGTCTAACTTTAAAACCATTTTACACTAATTCAATTGTATTGTTTAGCTTTCCATAATTGATCGCAGATGTAAAATTATTTCATAACTTTTTTTATTTTTCTTGGATGCTGGTATTATCTAATGTTTGCAGACACAAGCATATTTACATTTTAAATCAAAGTTGTACAGCGAAACGATTCAAAGTTTATAAAAGGAGGGAGATCGGGTACAAATGTAACATTTTTACTTGTAATTTATGTCAAAGACAGTTTTGCAAAAATATCGTTGGCTTAGATATTTGACTACATTCTTGCTCTATAATATATACGGTATAAAAGTTGATTCACAATTGTTACAATTTGTGCATATGAAAGATTTTAGTGTGCCTCCTCAAATTTATTCAATGGCTCACTCAAAGTAAAACCACAACATTCCTGCCCTACTTATATTTCATGCCTATTAAAATTCTCACAGGCAAAAATCAAGTTGCATGCGCAGAAGTTTTTTCCTTTTGATGCTATTTCCATTTTTATTATATCGTCCAAAAAATTGTCAAAGAAGTGTTAAAAAATTAGATATTAGCCTGCATCTTTGTTGTCGGTTTTTAAGTTATTTCACACGCGAGCTTTTTGTACTAATCCTGTAAAAACTTTCAGCTATCTTAGAAAACAATTTGGGAGCAAGCTATACCAGTATTTGTTGATTTATTCCAGCTTGATTTGCCTAATCCGAAAAAGTTTTATGCACGTGAGAGAAACGCCTGATGCAGATAATTACAATTAATTTGTACTAGTCGGATCTTTAGATAAGAAAAATGCTGTAAGCATTTTTTCAATTTCGAGGGAAAAATGACGATTTTTGTAGTGGTACAAAACATTGTTGTGGTAATACTCAGAATAAAAAAAATTAAGAAACTAAAAAAAACTATTATTATTACCTTTTGTTGGTAAATCATTAAACTACTTCCACGCCTTTGGAACGTCACTTCCATAATTTACATTCGATATAGCTGAATCTGTAATTGAGCAAATTGCCTTCAGGCCTGCTAATATTCAAGTAAACCGTACTCCAAGCAAGCATTTGAATAAAGCATTTTACCCTCAATTAGGCAAAAGTAAGCCCCAATCTTACTTTGGTGCCATTATAAAGCCGCAAATTTAGTAACAATACATGTCTTATCTCTTTGTGCTTTGTGCTCAGCGACTAGTCATAGGTGGAACTTGATAGCAGACTATGTAAATGTAAACACTATGCATGAATATGCATATCCGGACATTGTAACCTGCCAAAACAGATATATTTATTTGCATCCAATCAGATAATATTAGCATGATCTCTAATGTATCGTTGCCAACTTAGTGTCTAATGAGGAAATACGTCGATCCACTGAGATATTGATTTAGGATATAGCGGATGGGCATATGAATTTTATAAGCTAAAAGTATTGGCAATATATGGTATGAAGTTTGTTTGTCGGCTTGAGAAAAAGTAGGTTCTGAACTTTTTATCAAACTTTTGGAAATTTGTATTTATTTCGTAAAAAACTTATCTGCTCAGTACAGCTTAACTTTCCAATTTCTTGGT